GGCAACCCCTGAGTTGATGCTTTGCCAAGACAAACTGAGACACCGAAGGCGAAGGGATAACCTGGGCTGCAGCGTTCAGCTTCCTGAAAATTCGAAAGAGGTACGCGAAGGGGAAGGGAAAAAGGCAAACTACATCCAACAGTGTGGGGCACATCGGACTTGAAATTCCGGCCTCGAGCAGTGAGGTAGAATGGCATTGTGTCCATTGCCCCCTTGGATCGCAGTTGCAGTTTAAGGTACACCGTTACACCGAGCTTGAGGCACCGTTCAAAATTCCCCCTTAACAGGAAGATCCTGTTTGGTTCTGACATGGTTGTGCTCTTGGTATCGTTAGCGTGCTCCAAACGACAACAAGATGTAATGCCTGAGAACAATGCCAAGCAGCTGGAGCCTCTTTGGCAACTGAGATCGGTCCGGGGAAGGGTGAAACGTGCACAGCATCCGAGCGAATTTTGGTGACTAAGACCGCAACCTGAGATGTGGCTGTTCGTTTGAGTCCTTTAAGAGTTGTTCCTTCAGTTTGTTCCTTCTTCTGATTTCGGCTTGAGGCTGCTACATTGAGGATGACGACGTTGTCACGCCATATCGCGCAGTTTAGGGCAGAGATTCGCCGTGATTCACAGGCACATTCGAAAAATCCAAGGCAAGGAAGCTGTTGCAATTTCAGAACCAGAACTCCCCTACCTCGCTGAATCCTGGCCTGATCAGGGTTTGGCCGCTAGGGTATACAAAACAGCTGAAGAGACCTGCCAAAGTCTGTTTAAGGTAATTACTCCTAAGGCAGATATACATGTTTGTGTACCGAGCGAAGCCCTGGATTTTCGTAGCACCGGGAACCGGGTCCACCAGGTTGGCCAAGCATTGCCAGCCCACGAGTCCCAACAGCGCACAGCATGCAGCCACGCGGAAGCTGCTGGCCAGAGCGACGACAGGCACAGTATAGCTGAAGTCTCAAACGTTAACGGAACGCCCTGAATTCTCTGAATCCTGTCTGTGATTCATGCTGCATACACCCGCACATGAAAGCATCCGGGATTTGAGAATCTTGCACCTGCAGAAAGTACGTGGCTACTCTGTTCGCTCAATTTCTACAGATGGCTCCTTTCGCTGATGAACAAGCACGACCTCGGATCAAAGCAGAGATATTCCAATGACAAGCTGCCGCCTAAGTATCAGCACCATGTCTTCATTACTGGTTTTAACGTTCGAGTTGGCCCGTGAGTATCCTGGACACGTACATCTGCGCACGCGGCTGCTCCTTGGACCTTTCAAAGCTACCTGAAACCTTGAAATTCCTTGAACATGCTGGATCCGAGGCCCGAGCCCCTCCATAGAACCAACTACAGCATCTACAGCTTGACGATTTTGTTGTTTTGAGTGCAGCAGCGAGCTTTGCAAAGTCAGAATGCCAGTGAACGACGAGGTGGCTCTAAGATCTGACTCGTAGAAAGCGCGATATGCGCGGTGAAGTGTCGTATTCCTCAGCTCCACTTCAAGTTCGCGGCACAACTCGGAGTTCTTCTGGTCGAAAGCTTTCGTCAACTTCTTCAGTGAACGAAAGTTGTGATGACGTACAGGTGTCCTTGGGTGTCTCACAGTAGGGCAGGGACCAGTCTGGGCTGGTTCGTCGACTTAGAACACTTGCTGATCTGAAAGTATATAAGACTTATTATATAAAAGTATAGATAGATGCATATATAAATAAATTAGATTAGATGAAGGATGATGAAGGGTTGGAGGGCTACGAAAAATTTTTCAAAGCAGTCAAAAGCTCTGGTAAAAGACCAAACAGGCAGACGCCTCGCGCGAGCCCCACAGCCGTTCGCCATGTGCACGGCCCTGAAGGGATTCTTGATACCTGGATACAACAAGTGCGAGGGCTGTTACTTAAATCGTTGCTGCAAATTTTCGGAAAATCATGCTCAAGATACCGCCGGATCGGGACGTCCGGTTCGGCGACTTCCAGACCAAGAGCTGTACGCGCCCACTCGCACCACTTGAGATCCACGCACCATGTGGCGCCCTTTTCAATCCACTCCATGGCTTTTGGTCTTCTCAGAAGTTCCTCTCTGAAGTGTAACCATGCCCGAGCGGTCAACACGGGCGCCATGATCTCAATGATCCCCACGTCCGCAGCAATCAAACTGGGATCGATGTTCATCGTCCCAGCCTCGTCATCGGCTGGAATCCGGAGAATTTCGTGATCGCTCCCACGGACCTCCGTTGGATTGTGCCCATATTTCTTGTACCATTTTTTCATCTGCTTCGACCAGAAATCCGTCTTCCCTTGATCTTTGTCAAATGCCACGATGCCCGGCTGGGCAATCTGTGGCTGAAAATACCTTGCCAAGAAACTTCGGGCCGCCCCCGTGGGCGTCAGAGGTTCCCACACAAACCCCCTGTTTCCCCACTAGTCTACCCACTTTGTTGTTAGTTTCGGAGGTTGTCAATGTAAGATGGAGATTTCATGCGCTGCGAATTGTTCCTGAGGGCAAGCTCACGAACATCCGTTTTGGGGCAAATCTAGAAATTACTCGACTGATATGGACTCGGACCCCTCGAAAATCTAGCGAACGCGTGAGCCACGAGAATACAAGCTTGCGGAACATGTGATCCATTGAATGGTTTGGAGTTATTGCATGCCCAGGCTGACATCTCTCCCTGTCTGGTGCTTGGCGAGACGGGCACTGGTCTCCGGGCTCCAAAAGCGAGCCTTGCCCCAACCCGCTCCCCATCACTTCCCTCTAGACTTCGAACGCTCCAGAATACAACTTCCTAATTCACTTTTTGGCATCACGCGGGCTCCCAACTCTGCACCTCAGGCTGGGGCGAGGCGGGCGACGTGCAGCGTTTAAAGTCAAAATAAGCTGCACATAGCGATTCGAGCCACAACCCCCGGATGTGGAAGGGAAGAACCAAATATGCTGCTGGCAATTTCTTGATGGCATCGGATCACAGGGGTCACATGATTTATTATAAAGGAAATCCATACAACTCCAAGTCGACTGATCGTTTTGGCCTGGTTGTTTTTGCAGTTGTGCCCAGATGCAGCATATGAGTCCAAAAAGCAAACCAGTTCACCACCGAGATTTTCACATCCCCATCTGCCAGCCACACGTAGTCGTATGCTGATACAATGGTCGCATTCAGATGAGACAGCCAAGCATCGATCTTCCGGCTTTTGTAAGCATAAATCACCGACACGTTCGCTCCCAGGTCAGACGTATCAACCTTGATCTTATCCCACACCAGTAGGATCACGTGCAAGTCAACTAGCAGCTGCGTGATGCCTGCGAAGCAGACAACATCCGCGGGCCACTGCTCCAGCGGCAGATCTTGGCTTATGGCTTTCAGCCCCTGCTTTCGGGCAGCGCAGTGGGATGTGTTGGATGTTTGAATTCCTTTCGTCTTGTTTGCCAAAGATCTGATATCGTCCTTCGTGAATTCCATCTCCGAGCCCCCAATAACACGTACCATCAACACCTTCTTGGGAGATAAGTTGAAACAAAAATCATATAGGCCATTTCAGTTAGTGGGGATCGATTTGTGCAACTAGTCTCACATTTAACTTGTTAAAGCGTATGCAGGTTAAGTCTGGGTCCTTTGAATGAAAACTGTAATTTGGACATCGCCTTGAGCTGGATCGGAGCCGGATCCATCTGGTTTAGCGTCACGAGCTCCCGCCAGCGCAGCTCCAGGCCAAAAAACGTCCAAAGCGCCAACGTGCCCACCAGAGCAGCAACTCAGGCAGCAATGGCAATGACAACAACAGTAACAACAACAACCACAACCACAACCACAACCACAACCACAACCACAACCACAACAACAACAACAACAACAACAACAACAACAACAACAACAACAACAACAACAACGACGACAACAACAACGACAACGACAACGACAACGACCACGACCACCCCGACGACGACGACGACGACGACGACGACGACGACGACGACGACGACGACGACGACGACGACGACGACGACGACGACGACGACGACGACCACGACCACAACCACAACCACAACCACAACCACAACCACAACAACAACAACAACAACAACAACAACAACAACAACAACAACAACAACAACAACAACAACAACAACAACAACAACAACAACAACAACAACAACAACAACAACAACAACAAAACAACAACAACAACAACAACAACAACAACAACAACAACAACAACAACAACAACAACAACAACAACAACAACAACAACAACAACAACAACAACAACAACAACAACAACAACAACGACAACGACAACGACAACGACAACGACAACGACCACGACCACGACCACGACCACGACCACGACCACCCCGACGACGACGACGAGGACGACGACGACGACGACGACGACGACGACGACGACGACGACGACGACGACGACGACGACGACGACGACGACGACGACGACGACGACCACGACCACGACCACAACCACAACCACAACCACAACCACAACCACAACCACAACCACAACCACAACAACAACAACAACAACAACAACAACAACAACAACAACAACAACAACAACAACAACAACAACAACAACAACAACAACAACAACAACAACAACAACAACAACAACAACAACAACAACAACAACAACAACAACAACTTCTTCTCTAGAGGAACAATAGGCAATACCGTGTGACGCAAATCCACGACATGACAGCAACACATGTGCTGCACAAGACAAAACTGAACAGACCAGTCCCAAGGCTAAACTGGCAGTGCAAAGCCAAGCCGCCACGGGTTACGCTACAGCGTATCATGGCATCGTGGCCACCGGATGAAGCGACAAAGACAGTCGCAAGCAGAAAAATTACAAACACTCGGGCGGGTCTGACTCAGGCTGTGAAGAATGTAAGCATCCACAAAGTTCCATTCTCGGGGGAAACACATCTTTGGAATGTACCAGATCCGGACCCTTGTTCCAGTAAGCTGCCGCGAAAGACATTAGTTTAGACTTGAAGTGGCACAAAGCGGTACATGCAGCTTGCACACCACATCACACCACCTTCCCCATCTCTTACCCCGCCCTTCAGCCCCTCACCCCCTCCATGAATGTCCCAGTCGCACGAGTTGAATGTTGAGCGAGTGGTGATGCGGAAGAAGCATGTGGAGACCAAATGCCATCCGAGAAAGAGCACTTGCTACACACACTGAAAGTTGCTCATGTGGTACACATTTTGGCATTTTTGATTGAAGAGGAAGTTTAGCTAAATTTTCCACGGGGGTCATCAAACGAAACGAAGTGCGGGGACAGCATTTCCAAACCAACACCCACCATCAGTACACTCTTATGATGTGCCGTGATGCCTTTGGTGTAGCAACACGCGTGGCTCGACAAAAAATTGGGACTTACGGTCCACAATTCATCTCCCAGTACCATTTGTCGAAGCGCAATGTGAGTAGTGGGCAGGGCAGCCCCTCATTTTGTGTCCAGGAACACTTTGTGTGTGGACCATCTCCAATTGCACACAGTTGAGCTTGAGGGAACATCGCTCACTTCAAAGCACCAACACAAGTGTTGCAATTGCTTCAGGGTACTGAACACACATAGTGGATTGCCAGGACAGCTTCTGCACAGAGTTTCTCAGTTGATAAACCAATCGGAAATCGCTTCGATTAGCCAGTAAGTCTGCTGGATTATTCGGTATCCCGATCTTCATCACTTTGACCAGTCCAGTCTTGACGAAGTCCTGCATGTACAGGTAACGCGGTTCAACGTGTGCAGTGCACTTCGTAGCACCAAACGTAGTAGTCATAGATTTGCCGGCGATTCTCCTGGTACAATTCTCGAAGAGCAATGTGAGTAGTGGGCCATCCCACACTCTGTGTCCAGCAACACTATTGTGTGGCCACAGCGCCAGTGTTACATAGTGTTACATCTGGCAGTGTCTGTGCCGTCTCCATCGGTGTTGCAGTGCTCCTTTTTCGTTGTTACGTCCGGGGCGGGACGTCCGCATACGTCCGCCACCGATTGACAAGCCATAAGCAACAACAAGCTCTTCAGCTTTGAAGCAGGATCGGGATTTACGGGCGAAGGGGCCTAACATTGGTAGTCGCAAAAGGAGCTCAGCTCACAACATTCTAATGCGCTACTCTACACAGAGCGTAGAGGCGTAGAGTTGCAAAGCAGAACAGAAAATCAAGGCAATCGCACAAAACTCAGAACAATCTGCAATGAAGTGCTGCTATTTGCTGAAGCACACTTTGGCATGACCCAGAAGCAGCAAGAAGAGCACAAAGGGCACTAATACGACGACATTGTTCCAAACATGTCGTTAAATATCATTCAGGACAGGTAATGCTGACATGAGCAATCAGAAAAGGTCCTCATATTAGGGCACAGCCTGGCCTGCTATACTTCTGCCATACTAGCGTGGTCCCTTTCGCTTTCCCTTCGGCCACACTTTTTGTGTCGCGTCCGCACACCTTGCAGAGTTGTTTAGACTGAGTCACCGCAGAAAAACACTCAAACTATTCAACTTGGCATTTTGGTTTTCGGACAGCCCTGTGTGAAGCTCACGCACGAAAGGCCAAGTGCAAGAAGCGAAAGAATCCGATATCGCTACCTCTCGCCAGCAGCTGCAGCACAGTGCAGTATGCAAGCATTGCCAGCCTGTTTTCGCCCACATACATAAACAACATAGTCTTGCAAAGAAGAGCTGGCTTTGAACCGAGCTGCTTCGCGTCATTCAAGTTAAGTTAGGCATGTGCCGTGCTTCTGCCAATTGTGAGACAGCGCGTTTGCGAGGTGAGACGTACTAAGTGGTTGAGCACAAGCAATGTTCAAGCTTGTCAAATCAGATAAATCAGGACGGATGGCTCTAGCCAGCACCCCCAGGGGCCTCCCCTGAATTTGAAGAAGCAGTGCTGGAGCGTGCCAGCGGCACTGCGGCTGGCGACAAAACTCCTGAATGGGTCACGTGTTTCACGTTTCGTCGTGAATTTTTCTTGCGAATTCTGCAGTCGGCCTGCGAGATCGTAGGCGAACTGTCGTCCTGATTGCGTTCTGTGTCTTCATCTCCTTCGGAGAAGAACATGTTGGAACCAGCAGCTTCTCCACCATGTTTAACAAAAAGCTTCTGGAGCAGCTCGTCGATTCCGTTCTGAACGGTGGCGCTTGGTCGGGTGGTCATCTTATGCGTCAGTGATCGGATGTGCGTCATCGGTCGGCCTGACATGCCTGAGGCCTCCTTCTCATCAAACTCATCATCTTCACCTTCTTCGTGTTCCTCATCTCCGACTGCTCCGACCTGCGAAGAAAAGTCACATACAGGAGTTCCTGAAATCTTCGCTAAGGAAACAAAAGGAAAGGCATGTACATGAAAGGTGCAGAATTCGTGCCTGAAGGCAAGAACGTTTCTGTTAGTTGACGACTCTGCTGCATTTGTTTGCGGGGTTTCAAGCGCAGGCCAAAGATGGTCAAAGAGTGACTTTATAGAGGGGCCCCAACCAGGGTCCACCACAACAGCATTATACAGCATGACAACATTGCTCAAGGAATCTCAAGGATGTAGTTCCAACAAGGTCTAGCCGTAGAGTCTAGCCATGTCTAGCCCAATAGCGCAATCAATGCTCTGAGGTGTATCGGGCCTCTGGCGCTTGGCTTTCCACGAAGAAGACATGCTCGAGTGCCGTATCTGCTCTAGGCCGTGCCGAAGGGTCTCGTGACAGTGTGCACTGGATGAAGCTGAGCAGACTGTCAGAGCACGGCGTGCCCTCTGCAACTCTTTCCGTTCCTATGTGCAAGGGCGGCGAATCCTTGATGATCGACTCTTTCATTGATGCAGATGTCTGCTCCACGGGGGTATATGGAAATCTGCCGTAAGTCAATAAAAAAGCAACGGCTCCCAGTGACCAAATATCGACCAGGTAGTCGTAGCCTACGTTGGTCAACATCTCCGGCGCCATGTAAGGGGCGGTTCCGTAGACTCCAAACAGCTTTCCTGACTGCGGCATGGCAGCTGCAAGGCCAAAATCGCACAACTTCAGCGTGCGATGCTCTGGACCACCCCACAAAAAGTTATCAGGTTTTACGTCTCGATGGACAATTTCGGCTCTGTGTGTGTGCAAAACTCCTTTGATCATCTGCTTGAAGATGTCAGATAGGTCTGCCTCTGTCAGGCCGTCGACTGTCATGTCCAGCATTGAGCGCTTGCATCTTTCACAAACCATGTAGTATAGTGCATTGTCGGAGAAAGCCCGATGAAGCAGTACGACATGCTCGCACTCGGCGGCACAAACACGCTTCCATAGCAAAATCTCATCTCTGGTTGCTTTGTTGCGAGTTCGGCTGATTTGGCCCGTGCACACGCCCGTCTTGTCATCATAGTGGCGCACATCCACAATCTTCACGGCCAACTCCTTACCATTCAGCTTATCTTTTGCCATTCGGACTTGTCCAAAGGTTCCCTGTCCCAGCTTCTTGCCGAGCTTGTAACTGTCGTAGAAGTTGATTTCCACAATGTCTTGATGTGCTGTCTTGCCTTAGATTTGAAAGCTTGCCTATTGGAGAAGACTACGTTCCATAAAACTGACCCCAGCAAGCTCACAACAACTTTACCATGTAGCACATCAATGTTGGGCTAGTAGAGTCACATGCCGCATCATGCCGGTACATTGGTTTTTGATCGCATGAAAAGACTTTCCTTCATGTTTTGCCGAGAAGTAGCATGCACCACATCCCATTGCCACACGGGGGGGCCGCACAAGACCCCTCTCTACTTTTTCCGTTCACCGGCGCCTGAGCCTGCATGGGCCGACGTCACCATGTATCTTCGCATTTCAAGCGCAAGACGATGTCAGTTCTTGAAACTACCGACGTCTTTCTCGAAACTGCGATGCTACCAAGCCTGCCTGCCGCTACCCTTGGGCTGATGCCGGAAGTGTTCGTCCGGACATTCTGGCATGTCCCATTATGCAAACAAATGTGGTGCAGCCTGTATGTGCTGATCAAAACACGACGAACACAACTGCGTTCAGCAAGGCTGGCAAACAAGGCGGAGGTTTATTCTCCAAGGTGTGGTGGGGCCCTTCTGCGGCAGAGTGCGTGGTTGGTGTGTGTGGTTGGCGTGTGTGGTTGGGGTGTGGTTGGGGTGTGTGGTTGGTGTGTGTGGTTGGTGTGTGGGGTTGGTGTGTGTGGTTGGTGTGTGGGTTGGTGTGTGTGGTTGGGGTGTGTGGTTGGTGTGTGTGGTTGGTGTGTGGGGTTGGTGTGTGTGGTTGGTGCGTGTGCGTGTGCGTGTGCGTGTGCGTGCGTGCGTGTGCGTGCGTGTGCGTGCGTGCGTGCGGGTGCGTGCGTGTGCGTGCGTGTGCGTGCGTGCGTGTGCGTGCGTGTGCGTGCGTGCGTGTGCGTGCGTGCGTGCGCGT